TTCTAGTGGTCGCCTAAAAACCAGATGTTTTTGGCGCAGACAAAGCGGAATTGAAATGTATCATAACTGTAAATTTCTATTGTCAGCTCTTTTCCCTTACATTTGCCTACGGCTCCGTTGTAACAAAAACAACAAGCGTTGTGGTGATCGCGAAGTCGGCGGTATATTAGACGGCAAAAAAAAAATCGGTACGGATTTTCCACTGGAATTAGAAAATCTGTTATATTTTAAGACTTGAACCAAAATATTTCGGCAAAATATTAAGATTTATGTGAGCTGGACCGATTTAAAAATACCTCAAAAAATTTTATTTTTGTGAATAAAAAAAGTTTTTTAAAGTATTTTTTGAAAAAGTCACCTCAGGTGACAAACTAGTCTAAGCTTAAAAAACTTGTATACACACATTTAACTGAAAATTTCAACGGAATCATAATAATGAGATTTTTGATGCTGTTTTTGAACATTTTTCAAACACTGGTCTAAGAAAAACTTGAATAACTCAGCCAAAACTTTACCGATTTAGATGTTTGAGGCATTATTGGAAAGGTATTTTCTTACCCTTTTTATTTATTTGCTAACAAACTTATTCAAAGTACGAAAGCGAAAGGTAAGATAAACGAGTTTCATTCCATGCTGAATTAAGATTTGTTGGTATTTGATAAAAAAAAATTGGGACGAGAATGAGTTTCTTACAAAGAAATAAAAAGGGTGAAAGAATACCTTTCCACCGATACCCAATAAGTCTATATCGGTAAAGTTTTGGCCTAGTCATTCAAGTTTTTCTTAAACAAACCTTGAAAAAAGTTAAAAAACAGCATCAAAAATCTCATTATTATAATTCCGTAAATTTTTTTTTTAAATATTTATATGCAGATTTTTTAAGCTTAAGCTGTTTTGTCATATGAGTTGATTATTTTCGAAAATACTTTAAAAACCTATTTTGATTCATAAAAAACTCTATTTTTGGAGGTATTTTCAAATCGGAGCAACTCACGTAAATCTTAACATTTTGCCTAAATGTTTTGGTGAAAGCCTTAAAATATAATACATTTTGTCATGCCAATCGAAAAACCGCAACTTTTTTTGATGATGCAGTCTAATGTATATATTTATGTACATAGGTACATAGCTAGATAGATGTTACTTTTCGAATAGGTGTCTACCCTAATTTAAATTTTTTCCAAATTAAATGTTTTCTTAAAACGCTTTCGTTTGACACTGATCTTTTAATATGTCATTTATCTTGCGTTCAGGTTAAATACATTGGTATTTTCAATCAGGTGACAACCTTCTTTAAAAGTATTTTCAAAATGAAATCTTTCGTATTTTACATATTTCAAATAACTGATTAATAAGTTAATTTTTATGTTTTATTAACACCTGGCAACTCTCCTAAATACAGTTCAGAAATAAAACTTTCTCAAACCCTTTTCAACTGACACCCATCTTTTAGCAATTCATTTAATGTATGTATTAAATAATTTTGTATTTAACTTTTTAAACAGATGGCAACCCTCTTCAAACACCTCAAACGCTTTTTAAATGTTCAGAATAAACTACAAATCTAATTGCCTTTATTCAAATTGAATATGATTTTTTAAACAGGTGGCAACCCTCCTACATTTAGTTTAAATATAAAGCCTTTTAAAAAACAGTTCTATTGTTACCCATGTTTTAATAATTGATTTACTTTTTAACTAATTTCAAAGTAGTTTTTTTAAAAAGTGGCAACTCGTCTCGAAAAAGAAAAGCCTATTAATTTCACACCTCATTTTTGAAAATCGAACGTACAATGCAGTTCTAAAAGTGCCTACGCGTATTGCATATATGTAACTATATAGATCTTCTTCCTATCATTTATGAGACAGCAAATGCGACAAGTTTCAATACTAACGAAGAAGTTGTTGCTATACATACACACACACGAGTACATACATTAATATCTATGCAGGATTGTAATTGCCATACTTCTAATCAAATATAACCGTCATATTTGAAGAAAATCGATCAGATATAATATAGTCAACAAATACAACGACAATGACAACAACAACAACAATTACGTTAGCATTTGTAATTGAATGGTGCATACTTGTCTATGGACCATTAACAGAAACCCGTAAATCCGAACTTGTGCTTTTGTTTGTGTTGCAAGACCGGCATTATGGGAGTCTGTCAATGTAAACAACGTGTTGATGGAACCAAAGAAAGAAAACAAAAAAAAACGACAATATTAGCAAACAAAAGAAGATATACATTCATATGTATGTAGATACCCAAATTTCAAAGGCAGATTTGCAAGCATTCCGTTTACCGGATGCAGGGTCTGGACTGGTTGGGCGGGTTGGTTCCAGCAGTGCAACATTTCTCTGGCAAATTGAGGTAGTAGGTTGTATAGTAGTATCAATGGCATGCTATACAACGTGCTAGCTTTCTTTGCTTGACTCCAAGCAGCGTTATGAAAAGTGAAAATATAAATAAAACAAATAAAAAAAAGTGAAGTGCGCAAAAATAAGTATATTCTTGTGGTGTTTATAAAAATGTAAAATTTAAATCCTTATTAAATAGTTATTTGCTCCAAACATACATGGTTGATGTATGTATGTATGTGTGCAATGCTAGTGTTCACCTTCAGTTGTAACACATTCATACATACATACATACGTATATTAGTATATTTTTTTTTCGTTTTTGCGTTGAGATGTGTTTGTATGGCTGATTCCCTGAGACCCTAACTTGTGACTTTTTACATCAGTTTCACAAGTTTTGATCTCCGGTATTGGCCGCAAACTTGCTGTTTTTGTGTGAAATTCGTAATACATTTATCTACATACATAAGTACAATGCCAATCATGCGTACATACTGACGTACCTATCTACATACCAACATACATACATACATACATACATGCCTACATGCATACATTTCTCATGTCATCTAACCAATGCATAATCATTTAACTGTATGTGTATATGTATGTATTTAAGTATTAATGAGTGTATGAAAAATACCGCCAGTGCAAAATCGAACTATACATAACATTGGTGTTAAATATTTAATAATATTTGTAATAATAAGTGGTGAATTTTTTAAGTGACCATTTTTATGAAATTGAAGACATTGTTTCTGAACAAATTAGCAGCTGTAATGAAAATTTGTATTTTAAAAGTGTTTAATTTGTATAAACGCTGTAGAGAAACGCACTATTGCCGAACTGGCTCGGTACTAGAGAATTTAAAATCGTAACTAGTACGCGATAATTATCTTTTCAGCGCTAGAAACTGGCGAATTTAACATTGCGTTATCCTACGAAGTGTCGAATAACTCCCGCTGCATACCTTTTTCGCTAGTACCGAACCAATGTTTGGGAAGCTCCTGCAAATAAACAAAAGGCGATAGAACCTTCCCTTAGGCTTGGATTAAAGCTGGAACTGTCGGCTACTGTCCCTGAAAATAACATCCCTGCATCCAGGGCCATCGCCAGGATTTTTTTTCGGGGGGGGGGGGGGGAAGCTTCTGGAAAAATATTTTATTTATTTTCACTTTTATTTTTAACATATTTTGATCAAAAGAAAAATACTGATAAAAATAAAATATTTCACATAAACAATAAAAAATATAATCGATAATCGCATGAGGCTATTGCCTGAAAATTTTAGAATGCACTTAGTGGCATTGTGCCACTAAGTTGGCGTAGCCAACTTATGTACAGTAGACTCATCACTCTCCATACAAAAAAAAAAAGCGGCAATGGACCTTCACCTTGATAATTTACCATGGCTTGCAGCAGTCTGAAAACTTGGATTTTGGAATATTGGCCAGCTTTTTCATCATTTCTCCCACTGTGCATTGTAACGATTTTAAGTTATTTTCAAAGAAATGAGTTTTTAATTTGAAACCAAATTTGTTTCAATGAATGCACCATGGGCCAGCAGTTAATCAAAAGTGGCGAAAATTTGACAAATACAAATAAGGGCACACTTAGCCCGAGTTTAAAAAAAAAATTGATTAATTATTTCATTGCTGGCAGATACTTAAACTTTGAAATTCTTTGAAAATCAAGTTCCGCCTATTTATAGAAAACACCATATTATTTGAATTGCAAGCATTTTATCCATTAATTTTCTTCAAAAGAAATATTTCAAGTTTGGGTGTCCTCTCATCAAAGACGACAAACCAAATTGTTAATGCTGTGATTGGCGCGACGAAAGCTCCACGACGAAAGTCTACAGTCACAAACGACACCTGAGAACACTCTCAATCGACTCTGAAACGTGCTTAAGCGGGAAACTTCTAACGGACCAGATATAAATGAGCAGTGGGAAATAATCTCCCGAACTCCTCGTACCGCTGTGTCTGGATAGAATCACCCACACAGAATCATTACAAGCCACCCTGCTGCTAATTCCCATGCCGGGAAAAGAAGGGGGAAATCGAGACGTAAAAAATTGTGGCAGAAATTCAGAGCGGCATGAGCGTGAATAGCTTGGGATGGTGATAGGCAGGAATGCGGCGCGAAAATTGCATCAAAATTTAACAATAGCGGCACAGGTGGCGCGTTTGACGAAGAAGAAGGCTCGACTACGTACACAATTCCGTATTTTGGGGGGAGGAAGGGAATTTTTTGAGCACGCCAATAATTATGTAACAAGGTTTTTGTCCCTGGGTTGTAATTGTTATTTCCTAGTCAGTTAGGTCCCAAAAGTATAGAAAACAGCTATTGTCGCAAGATAACTTTGCTTTTGTGACCATGGCAGCGCTTGTCTGCGTTTATTTTTATGCTTGTTTGTTGAAAACTGATACACGAGCGCATACAACTTGTTTTCTCTACATTTGTGTGTGTTAAAACTAGTGTTGGGCAGTATCGATTCCAAAAGTACTCAGTACTCGATGCTGAAAAGTATCGACAGTACCCGATGCTTAAAAGTATCGATACCAAAGTAGTAAATACACAAAAGTACTCGATACTGCCCAACACTAGTTAAAACAACAAAGTCGTCGCAATAAATTTTGCAACATTTTTGTGATTTATTGAGAGTTGTTTCTTATTTTATTACAGATAAATTCGTTCAAACATGGCTTCACGAGGCTGCAAGTATCCTGCAGATGCATTTTGTTATGTCTGCGGATATTTTATCAAAACAAGAGCGAATAAGTACTCTTTGAAAACAGGTTTTAAAATGTGCGAAGCTTACAATGCTTATTTCGGCATGCCTGTGGGTGATCAAGACAAATCCTGGGCACCTCATTTCGCGTGTGAAAACTGCAAAAGGACTTTGGAAGGTAAGACATTTTAAAACTATATTGCTTTGTTATGGGTAAAATAAATGTTTCTATTAACTTTTTTATTAGACAGTACTTTTCTTTTCTAATTTTTTTTTTTCAGGATGGTACAGAGGGGAAAAGAGAGCTATGAAGTTTGCTGTGCCAAGAGTTTGGAGAGAACCCACTGACCATTCAAGCAACTGCTTTTTCTGCATGGTGGACCCTTCCAAACGTCGGACTGGCAAAAAAGCAAGTCAAATCATGTATCCTGACATTCCTTCATCCATGGCTCCAGTTCCACACAGCTCTGACCGCCCCGTTCCTACTCCTCCAGAGAAAGAGCAGGTGTCTTCCTGTGAGAGCCCTGATTCCATGAGTGTGGAAGACAATGAAGGTGAAGGATTTAATTTACTAGCTGATAACAAAAACCCATACTATCCCAACCAAAAGGACATGAATGATTTGATCAGAGATCTTGGTCTAACCAAGTCCGATGCTGAACTTTTGACGTCCAGACTGATGCAGTGGAATTTGCTGGATCCTAGTGTTAAAGTCACATGTCAGAGGAAGCGTCACGAACTTTTTTCCAACTTCTTCATCAGCGAAGATGGGCTCTGCTTCTGCCACGACGTGACCGGTCTGTTCGAGGAAATCGGAATTGATTTCGAACCAAAAGAGTGGCGCCTCTTCATTGACAGCTCATGCAAGAGTCTCAAAGCCGTGTTGCTTCACAATGGCAACAAGTATCCGTCTCTTCCTCTGGCGCATTCAGTATCTCTCAAAGAGAACTACGACAATGTCAAGAAAGTGCTGAACGCATTGAAGTATGAGCAATATGGCTGGGAAGTGATCGGAGATTTCAAAATAGTGACATTCTTAATGGGCCTGCAAGGCGGTTACACCAAGTTTCCTTGCTTTCTATGCCTGTGGGACAGCAGAAACGACAGTGCACACTACAGTAAGCGTGAATGGCCACAACGAATTGAATTCACAGTGGGGAGGAACAACGTCAAGTGGGAGCCCTTGGTGGACCCCGAGAAGGTACTGATGCCACCACTCCACATCAAACTGGGTCTTATAAAGCAATTCGTCAAAGCTCTCGACAAAAATTCTTCAGCGTTCAAGTACCTACAAGACTTGTTCCCTAAGCTCTCTGAGGCGAAAGTTACAGCCGGTATCTTCGTTGGACCACAAATAAAGAAAATCTTCGAGTCTGAGGAATTCCCCAAGAAGCTCACTCGTGTTGAGAAAGCTGCTTGGATGAGTTTTATGTCAGTGGTACAGGGATTCCTAGGCAATCACAAAGCCGCAAACTATGTGGAGCTGGTCGAAAGTCTGGTGGAGAACTACGGCAAAATGGGCTGCAGGATGTCTCTCAAACTCCATATTCTGGATGCACATCTTGACAAATTCAAGGAGAACATGGGAGCATATTCAGAGGAGCAAGGCGAGCGCTTCCATCAGAATATAATGGAATTTGAGCGGCGATTCTTTTTAAAGCAATAAGTACTAGAGTAAAAAAAAAATTTATTACAAAAAGAAAAAAAAATCCGTTGCACGAGGATTCGAACTTCTGATCTCTATAATGGTAATAATAATAATATGATAAGTGTAGAAGTGCTTTCCCTCAAAAGAGCTTTTCACCATTTAAGTTGGCGCATGAGCTATTTTTGTAAGACTTTCATGCCAGAATAAAGAAAATCTTTTAAACTATTTTACTATTTTTCAATTGTCTTACAAAGGACTTTCGACTATCTTAGCCAGCATTGCCCTAGATAATTTCATATTTATTTGCTAAAGTTTTTCTTTTATACATGTTTGATGTGATTAAAATTAAACATTTTTACCAGATAAGTACGTATCTTTAAAGTAGAAAATGCGAAAAGTTTTCGATATGAATTTCAAAGTTACAATGAGTGGTTTATTTTTAATTTTCATACATACATACATAAACACACTCGAAAATATGTGTGCTTTGTAAGCTTTTTATAAAATTTATACATGTAGGGCAAATTAAATTAGTATAAAAAACGACGATTAGATGCAGCTATATACTAATAAATATATGTATAAATAACATTTTTGCAGTTTCACTTCCATACCAAGATATGTAGGTAAGTAGATATATAGTACATAGTATTTATGCATATTTATATATTTGTATGAGCGATTCGCTTAATTGCTGGACATTTCATTGATGCGTACACTTGTCCTTGGACTTCTTTTTACGATCGTCGCTTGAATTTGATCGGCGCGTACCTTGAATCGGCATATAAGGCGGTGTGGGGCTTGAGCTTTTATCTGCAATTGATAAAAAGGCAGCGAGTTAGCAGTGATAGGTACAAATTGAGCGCGCTGACGTTCAAATACATATATACCAAAAGTACTCGATTGCGAGTAGTTCATGCGTGGCGCTAGCTCATGTCTGTTGAGTAAATCATGCGAGTCAATGGAGTAGTTTTCTGATCTGTAAGAAAACGCGAAGTTAGATACTCGTAGCATACAACCTATCACTCGTTGTCACTCACCTGGTCATCGAATTGTGCTGCAACAGTTGCGCTTCCCCATTCGCGCTAATATTTAGCGAAGGGGGTCGCTGACCTGGCCGACAACTATCCACTGGCAGTGTATAGATATCATCGTCGACGCGATTAAGCATCGCATTGTTGTGGAGGCCGCCACCACCGCCAGCGTTCTGTTGACTATTCGCACTGCGTCGTCCACCCTCACGCGTCAAACTGCCATTGGTCAGTGTGCCATTCTGTTGTTGACGCTGCTGCAGCTGCTGCTGATTATGCAGCACATCAATGGGATTCGAGTACGCCTCCACGTCAATGATGTCCTCCTCCTCAACTGCCATTTGCAGGACGCTTCCACTTTGGGCACTTGGATGCGCGTTCGTGTGTGAACTGTTGGCAGCGGCTGTTTGCGAGGCTGCCGCAGCGTGTGTTGAATGTTTGCCAAAGGAGAGGCAGTCCTGTGGCAGCGGCAGTAGTGGCCCACAATGCATTCCATTCGTGAAGCTGCCATTTGAGCCGCATAGTGTGGTATGGCCCGCACCGTCCTTTTGTTGATGCTTGCGAAGGCGCACTTTTTCTTTGGCACGTTTTGCTTTGGAGCGCTCCTAAGTGTGGGTAATCATCGTTAATGATTTAAGGTACCGAAAGCTGTTTTTTTTAATACTTACACGCTCTTGCAGCATTTTGGCTAGTTCTTTATCCTGCGCTTCGATTGCCATCAGACGATCTCGTTCCTCTTGTGTGAGCCCATCATTCGCCTCCATTTGCTGTAGTCGACGTGCCAGCAACTGAAAAAATATCACATAAAAGGCGATATCCTAATTTTCAAACGTCACTCAAAGGAGATACTGTAGTGCAAATCTGCGCAAATTAGAATTCATTCCAAAAAAGTTCAGATGGCAAAAACATCGAAGATTAGCCAGAGAGAAAAGTAGTTAAGGAATAGAAAATGGAATTATGCTCAATGTCCCAGTCAATGATCGGCTCTCTTATCTAGGTTTAGGGGCATATGCATGAATATTGAATGCAAAAGGAGCACTGATGAATTGAGGTAGGCAAGAGCCTGTCTGGATGAATATGAAGCGTACGCACTGGATTGCTCTCTAAAGAGAAATTGATCGGAATTTCCTTGGACTGGCTGTAAACAAGTGGGCAGATATACAGACTTGCAAGAAATCAAGGAAACTGTAGACTGACTGCAACAGAACTAAGACCTCGGATCTGCTTAATAGATCAAGAGTAGGCACTTGCCTCTAGGCAAACATACGACAAAAATAGACAGACAAAATTTCTTGTGAAAATGACCAGGCAATAAGAATATTAGCTATAAAATACTAGGAAAATACATTACAACTCCACTAAAGGACCAAAATGGCGTCAAAATGTGTTAAGTGTATCATAGCCTATATATCTATAAAGCACTTCAGTCAACCCGAAAATGCTCTCATCTGGTATCTGGTATCGGTAAAAACTCAACGAAG